TAGCAAGCAAAAATTAGAAGTCAATTTTTCAGTCTTTCATACTAATTTTTCAGCACTCCCAGCTGCTCGATTACACCCGTGGTTATCATACCACTCATTTGAGGAGCAATGTTTCCTTTTAGCAGGCCAATTTAATAGTATCCCTAATCCAGATTCCAGGAGCAGATAAGCCGATGCCACAGGTCATGGCATCCAGCGTTCAGTGGCAAGCATCTCAGCGGTCCTCACTGGGCTGGGTGTACAATTTGCTCCTTTGTTCTTGTTCCAATCCTGCCTCCTGTTAATTCTTCTGAATCAGGTTTTTTCTTGTTGTTGTTGGGTTTTTTTGTTTTGTTTTGTTTTATTTTTGGTCAGGAGCACCAGTGACCTCAATCTTGCCAAAGCCAGTAGCTGATTCTCTATTCTTATCTTACTCCATGTTTCAGCAGCATTCAATCTGCTGGACCATCCCTTCCTTCATCAACACTCCCCTTCTCTTGGTGTCTCATGCTCTCTGAGTGTTGCTCCCACCTTGCTGGCTGCTTTCTTTGGATGTTAGGTGCTGAGCCCCCACTCACGACTAAAACTTTCAATCCTGCAGTGTCACAGGATTCCCGTGAGCCATCTTCTCTTCTTCACCTCTACTTCCTTTCCAGTCTCAGGGCTCTCAGTATGAACTATATCAAGAACTCTCCAAACTTCTCTCTCTAACCCGGACCTTTCCTTTGGGTTCCAGACTTGTACATTCAACAGCTCAGTTAACATCTTCACTTGGATTTTGACTACCTTTTTCTTTCTTCTTCTCCTTCCCTTTTGTTTTTTTTATTTTTTGGATGTTCTGCTGCCAGCATTTCTCTTTCCTTGCTTGACTTCATTACACTAACGAATTAATCATAGGTTGGCTACTTACTGGATGTCTATTAGGTATAAGGGTCCTTCTAAGGGGCTATAGAAAAATAAAAATATAGGGCATAGTCCCTGACACCAAGGACTTCATAATTTAGCACAGGGCTTCCCTAGGTTTGCTCCGTGAAAGTAAGGCTCTATGATCAATTAAGTTAGGAAGTAGGTATTTACTTTGTCCCTTTCTTGGAGACTGCCAATATATACAAACCTGTCAAAGGCCTGAGAAATTCTGTGTATTGTTCCAATTTTAGTATATGTGCAGCCTAAGTGAGCACTAAGGCTCTGAGAAATTCTGTTGTAAAGAGACCTGCTTAACTTGGTTTAACACAGCATTTTATTTATTTCTTTTTAAGATTTATTTATTTATTTGAGAGAGAGCACACATGAGCAGGAGGAACAGAGGGAGGAGAGAGAATCCCAGCCTGACGTGGGGCTCCATCTCACGACCCTGAGCCAAAACCAACAGTCGGTTGCTTACGGAACTGTGCCACCCAGGGGCCCCTAACACAGAATTTTCTAAATGTATTTCACTACAGAACGTTCTACTAACATTCTCACAGATTAGAAAATGTCAACTGGGGATATTCCAAATGAGTGGTATAAGTAGAAAATTTGACATTTGCTGAGAGGAAGGCGTGTTCATTTGGGGTAGGGAGGATCATGTAAGGGAATGTGGACGTAGAATTTGAGCTAGCATTGGAAGATGGACTGGATTTATTAGGCAGATATTTATTGAGAACCTATTTTGTGCCAAGTGCTGCGCTAGGCACAGGGTGCTCAAAGTTGAGCCAAATAGACATAGTCTCTGCCCTCTTTGATCTTATAGTCTAGTGAGTCAGCCATTAAAGAGATAAACAAATGAGACAAGCGACAAGTGCTACAAAGAATATAAATAGGGTACAGTGAAGTCAAACACTGTGGCCACCTACCTTGAATGGAATAGTCAGGGAAGAACTTGATGCAGGCCAAGAATCTCTGCTGGTTAACAATGGGGTGATGAAAGCCTCCTCTGATCTTTCTGAAACAAGTTAACTTGCTTCTTCCCTCCCCACATTTTTATATTTCCAGTAAAAAGTTAGGATTATTTACTTTCATTCCTAAATCTAATTGTTATTGTTAATGACAAATATTAAGTGACTTTCATGAAATATCAGGAGTTGGCTAACAATGAGAAATTAAACATAGCCAATCAAAATCTCGCTGTTCCACAGAATGAGCTGGACTCTTCCACTGACACTGAGCAGCTCTTTGCATTAAAAATGAGGCAGCTTTGAAAATAGTCTGTGAGTTTTCCCTAATTGAAATGAAACACAATGTTAGGAGTGGAAATTATTATTTTTTTAAGATTTTATTTATTTGACAGAGAGAGACACAGCGAGAGAGGGAACACAAGCAGGGGGAGTGGGAGAGGGAGAAGCAGGCTTCCCACCGAGCAAGGAGCCCGATGTGGGGCTTGATCCCAGGACCCTGGGATCATGACCTGAGCCAAAGGCAGATGCTTAACGACTGAGCCACCCAGGCGCCCCAGGAATGGAAATTATTTAAAAAGATAAATTACATGGCCCCTATTTGATACCAAAAAAATTTTTAAATTTATTATACCAGCTACAAAAAGCAAAGCATATCAGGAATTTATGAAAAGGGAAGAAACTTTGGCAAAGAAGGCAACTGACTTAAAAGTTATTGTCTAAAGACCTCAACTTAAGGCTAAAATAAAACACACTGTTTCCTCATATTCCTTTTGATTTACCGAAATTCTTCCCATTTCTAGGTGTTACACCTTCAGCATAGGTCCAGTTGCCCCTTTCAAAAGGCTGGTATATGTGTGTGTATATTTTTCTTTGTTTTTTTCTCTTTAAAGATTTTATTTATTTATTCATGAGAGACAGAGAGAGAGAGAGAGAGAAGCAGAGGGAGAAGCAGGCTCTCAAGGAGCAGGGAGCCCGATGCGGGACTCAATCCCAGGACCCTGGGATCATGACCTGAGCCGAAGGCAGACGCTCAACCATCTGAGCCACCCAGGCGCCCTGTATGTGTATATTTTTTTCTTTATTTTACTTTTTTCTCTCTAGGAGTCAATAATGATATTATCAACACTCCTAGGAAAGCACATTAATGGTTTTCCTTTTAACAAAAGTAGTATATAATGATTCATAGGTGGACCTACATTTGTATGTAGTTTTTAAGACTCACTAACTGCAAACTGGTCAAAATCCATCATTACCTGCTTTAACCAGGCGCACTGCACACTCGCCGGGGCTCACGCCGTGCAAATCTCCCTCTGGGCCGATGCACATGGTTGCTGCCACAGGTTTCCCAGATGTTTTCAAGGCTTCCACTGCCCACACAGCCTCTTCAACATGCTCGAAATACTGAAATAAGATCAGGTTAACATACTTTTTTATCTTGTTTCTCCCCAAATGATTAGAAAACTTATTTTAGTGCTTAAAAATTATCACTAGATGAGTGGTCTTCAAACTTTGAGTTGTGACCTATTAGCATTTTTTTAAAATGGAATAGAAGGGTGATTACTGTGAATTGCAGTCAAAAGGTTTGAAGAACACTTCAGTAGATTAACTGAATCAAATTCAGTAGAAGCCCTAAATTGGAAAAAAGATTTTAAAACTAGATATTTACTAGCCATGATTGGCAACTAATTTCACATCCTCCTCATGAAAACACAAGGTAGAGAAAATGTACTAAGTGCGTATGTCTCATCTTTGGTCATATCTTTGTTTACCTCGGCAATCAAGAAGTCCACGTTCTTCTTCATAAAGACCTCTAACTGTTGCTGAAATACTTTTTTAACTTCAGTTTCTCTCTTGCAACTAAGGTATGAAGGTGTTTGACTCACGCCTCCTGCCACCAAAGCGTCTCCCTCATCAGCCACTTGCCGGGCAATGTCACAAGCAGCTTCATTGACTTTCTGCCCCTAAAATGGGTGAAATGGGATATATCTACATTTTCACACAGAATTGAAACCAAATTATTATTCAAATGTCCACATCTCAGTTGGATGTTACCATAGAGAGATTATTCTAGAAGATGACAGTGATAGAATAGTTCAATTTACCAAGCCGAGCAATTGCAGTAACACCACCACCAATAATAGTAATGAAAACACTAAATGATGATGGTATCTAGGATATTACATACCAAAGCTCTGTGAGAGGATAAAAATCTTTACATAAAAGGATCTGGTATCTTCCAGTGCCTAAGCTGCACTTAGAAGAATACCTAGCAAATAGTGGTGGTGATGATGATGATTTGCTCTTAAGATCAACAAGAATAAAATGTAATTAAAATGACTACAGAATTCATGAATTTTTGTCATTATGTATTTTCTTAATGGATAAATGCATCGCACGGTATTTTCTAATTACTTAGACATTAAAAACTGACACTTGTCTTCGATAAACCCCAGTGCTGTAGTTCACACAGACTTATGGAATTTTAGACCCCCTTGTTTTGGGGTGCCTGGGTGGCCCAGCCAGTTAAGCATCTGACTCCTGATCTCAGCTCAGGTCTCGATCTCATGGTTGTGAATTCAAGCCCTGCATTGGGTTCCATGCTAGGCGCGGAGCCCATTTAAAAACAAAAACAAACAACAAACTTCTTTTTCATCATAGGGATTGAGAAATTGTCACTTTGATGGCGTAGGTAAATGGTTTGCCCAACATGACACAGTTGATAGCTGAGTCAGGAAGTTTCCAGGGTCACTGTGCCCTTCCTTGTGCCTTTGACCTTTCTCCTACATTGTCCCACATTAAAAAACTGTAAGGATGTAAGAATTTGTAAGGATACCCACTCAGCAACTTAGGAGACTGGGAGAATCATTAATCATTAACTATATCTTCTTCGATATGCTTCATTAAATGCCTTTCTGTCAATTTTGGGGACTCCAGCTAAAACCTCAAAGAGTTATTCACACAGTAAAGTATGGTGATTAACGTAACATAATAAAATAAAATAAAATAAAAGAGTTATTCACACATATTTCTATATTATCTAAAAACTACATTCTGAGTGACTGGGAAAATGTTCTTTTTATAAAATGCTAGTGAGATTTAGCAGGTGTTCGTTTTTGTCAGGAGAATTAACTGCACAACATAAGAAATCAGCAATCCTGTATCACACATATCTCATTTCTGTAGTATCTAAAAACTCAACATTTTTCTCTATGAGAACTTTGGTGATGACATGTGTGTCTACTATGCCCTTCTAAAAATGCCAGATATGGCTTTACTCACAGATATTTTCTCTGCAACATAGTTTCCCCTGTTCTCCAGCTTGTCTTCACTTGCATAAAAGGTGAAGGTTTGCATGACGTTGGATCCAGCTCTGAGGAACTCTCGATGAAGCTGGCGAACTGGGAGATTGAATGAGGAAAGGTATTAATTACTATCAGTTTATAACCCATGATGCTTTCAAAAGGCTACCAGATAAACAGATACGAAAGTATCTGCTTATCAAAATATCATTCTTTGCTTGGCACTTGCGCATCCTGAGAGCGAATGAGAGGTAGATCTGGGGGCTCTTGCTACGAAGAAGAGATTATTTCTACCATGGATATGGGGTGAAGGGAAGAGGGAGGGAGGTCCACAGGGGAGGAATCATTTAATGTTTTTGCTGGGCAAAGGTGGGGAAAAGCATTCCCTACTGAGGGAAGGGTTTGAACAAAAAGAAGGAGGCAGGAATAGGCTTGGTATTTGGGGGTGCCGCAGGTGGGGTTGAGGATGTATCAGAGAAGTAGTAGGAGATGCAGTTGGAGAGGAGGCTGGGCTGCAGAGTACAAGTGGCCCTAGCACATCATCTCAAGGAGTCTAGGCTTCAGACCACAGGTATGGGGAAACACCAGCACTTCGTAAACAATTGAATGATGTGATTAGCTCTGTGTATTTGAAAGATAATTCTGGTAGTAGAGTGGAATAAGAACTAGAACAAGGCTCCTAAGCAGAGGTCCATGGATAAGTGTCAAATGGCAAAGTTTTCACAGGCTAAAGAAAATACGATGGGGCATTTCCCCCCCATATAACCAATTATATTCAATTTAAGGGATTATCCTTTGCTCTAAAATAGTGGTCCTAAACTCTGATTGCCCATTAAGACAACCTGTAAGCTTTTTAAAAATAATGGATGTTGGGGTCAAATCCACAGATATTCTAATTTAGTTGGAAGCTGATTTTTATCTTCCATTTTGCTGAGAACCACCATTCCGAGGGACTGGGAAAATGCTCTTTTTATGAAATGCTAGGGAGACTTAGCAGGTGTTCGTTTTTTTCAGGAGAATTAACTGCACAAAGTAAGAAATCAGCAATCCTGTATCAGGCCCTGAAATCTATTTTGAAATTTTAGAGGCCTTTCAAAGCCAAAGATTTGGGAGTAACTACATTAGAGGCTCGGAAATTTTTGGGACACTGGAATTCCTAGCCCTTTAGCCTGGTACCTTTGCATCCTGGGGGCCTAGTACAGTGCAGAGAACATAGGAAGCTCAGTGTGGTTTTTAAATGAACAAATCAGTGAGGCCAGGAATCGTCTGAATTTCAGAAAATGGTTTTGTTTTTTTTTAAGATTTTATTTATTTATTTGACAGCGAGAGAGGGAACACAAGCAAGGGGGAGTGGGAGAGGGAGAAGCAGACCTCCTGCCGAGCAGGGAGCCCGATGCGGGGCTCGATCCTAGGACCCTGGGATCATGACCTGAGCCAAAAGCAGACGCTTAACGACTGAGCCACCCAGGCGCCCCAGAAAATGGGTTTCTAAGCATGGAATCTCTAGTTCTGAGAGGGAACTTAAAAGCATGCCTAATGAGGAAGCTTCAAACTTGTTTTAATTAGCAACAGAACCCATTAAAGACATTTTATTTGGAGCCTCTGTTCATCGATCAAACACAGAGTTTCGGTGGTTGGAGCAGTGTGAAGGGCCTATTGATGAGGTCCCCGTACACTAGGAGGAAATGGTTTCTGAACAGGAAGTCCACCCAGCTGGTCCTTGGGTGGATTTCCAGAGACTGTTAAAAAACCGTGGAATGGTGTGCAAATTGTGCATATGTACGTTTTACATGGCATTTTACACCCTTTTATCAGATTTTCGCAGAGGGTAGTGGCCCAACTCCTTGATCTTAATCGATTTGATTATTCTACCATGCTTCTTAAAGCTGCAGTGCTTCTCAAGTGTGACCCAACTTAGACTCACCTGGGCGCAATGAATATGAATTCAGATTCCCCCAAACCTCCCCTCCCGGATCCAGCAACCTTAATTCTTTGCTGAATTCTATGCTGATTCCACTGGGTGCAAGAACCACAACTTCTGACATAGACTTTAGTAGGAGAATTAGTGCACTCAAATAAGCCCCAAATACTCAAGAAACAGATGGCCAGGAGATAAATGTGCTGTTTTTGTATTAAGAAAGTCAAAATCAATATCAGAGCAGTTTCTCTGGAGCTCCTCCAATGTATAACTTTAAAAAAATGTGACTTGTAAAATTGAAGCTTGTGTTTAAATAACAGTCTTATTTTATTTACGTGGCAGAGTTTCCACCAAGGTAGCTTATTGTTAATACCAGTTTCACCCAAGAAATATTTCACTGAGTTTAACCCAGCAAGCAGACCTTAAGAAACAAATTGCAGATACATTTTAAATCCTCATTCTTGGATCTTAATTATTCTATTGCATTCCTTAAAGCCCTTTAATGCAATGCTTCTCAGAGTGTGGTTCACCTTGCTATCACCTGGGGACAGTTATAAATATGTGGGTTCCTCGACCCACTCACAGACCTAATGAATCCAAATCTCTAAGGGAAGGCTGGGAATCTATAATTTTTAACAAACTGCTGGTGCAATGAAAATTTGAAGACTAGTGCTCTTTTAGCTTCCAAGCCTACTGAATTATCTCTTTTCCCCTTCCTTCCTTCCTCCCTCCCTCCCTTCCTTTCTCTCTTTCTCTCTTTCTTTCCTTCTTTTGGGCAGAACACAGTATTATTTCTACTTTTTTTTTTATTATGTTATGTTAATCACCATACATTACATCATTAGTTTTTGATGTAGTGTTCCATGATTCATTGTTTGCCTATAACACCCAGAGCTCCACGCAGAACGTGCCCTCCTTAATACCCATCACCAGGCTAACCCATCCTCCCACCCCCTCCCATTATTTCTACTTTTATTTGGAAATATAAAAGTTGTGTATATTTGCCAGGCTATATACATGGCTATATATGACTATAGTTCTTTTACTTTGAATATGATTTAGGGGTAGTATGATTTGAACACAAAATTTCTGTACTTCTCTAGCAGAAATGGATGAGTACAACCAAGATACTACCAAGAGAAGAAACAATGAATTTAATAATAGTTAATAATTGTAGTGTACATGCATCAGGCAGTATTTTAACGAGTCTACATATAACTTATTTAAATCTCATAACAATCCTACGAGGTAGATGTCAATATTATCTCAGTTTTATAGAAGAGGAAACTGAGTCCCAGAGAAGCTGAGTAATTTCCCCAGAACCACACAGCCTAGTGGCTGTCAGAATTTGATTCAATTAGTCTGGATTCAGAATCTGTTTGCTTAATCTTAAACCTGTACTGTCAATTTATGTGCTTTGTTAGTTTCTGGCCTTTATCACTGAGTTCACTGAAATATGCTCTTTAATAAACATTAAAGACAACTGTTCAACTTGTATAATATTCCCAAGAACTTCCTCCAGTTTCCTCTGAAAGAGTCAGCTGCTTTCACAGTGTTGGCCACCGATGGCTGTGGGCTGAGACCTTCTCTAGGAAGTGCCCTGGGCCAAAGGGAGCTTCCTTGCAAAGGGCTAAGCCCTCTCCTGAGAAAGGGGAGAGTTGATAGTTTGCATGCAATGCTTGGTCTCTTGGTAGGAAGAGAGCAAAGATCCAGCTCCCTTGCCTCGATGTGGGACTACTCTGAAGGGCCTGTCCCCCTCCAGAGCTTCCTGAGGGACTGGCCAAGTCGTCTGTAACAACTGCATCACAGTGTAACGCCTCCCCCTGCCCAATCCTGCTTCCCCTACTCCCTTCGAGGTGCTATTTCATAAGTGCACTCCCTGTTAAAACTCCTGAGCACAAATCTCCACTTCTGGCTGGCTGGTCATGAGCAACTACCTCATGATGGGTGATAGAGCTCCCAGCATGCTCTAGGAGTACAACTGTTTGAAAACTTTCCTCCGTGGTGACCTGGAATGAGATGCCCTTAGGCAGGAATGTACTAGCTGGTGCAGTATCTCAGCTGTTTCAGAGGTTCAGAGGCAACAGTCATTATAAGGACTTTAGAATCAGATGGCTATTATTGGGTATGACCAACGTACTAGAGAAAGACAATGAAAGGTTAAGGGTGATTCATCACCAATTTAAGGCAAAGTATGGACGTCTGATGGTCTCCTGGGTGGCATATAAAGAAACTCACCTCTTGTAGCTAGCGGGCAGAAAAAGCTGAGGATCTGGCCCCGGACTAAATTATACAGGGAGCAGAGAGTCAGAGAGGTTGAATTCTCAACCAGGCAAGCCTTTTATTGCCAAAGTCAGGGCCTGATTAGGAAGAATTGGGTCCCTGAGATTGGGATGAAGGCATATGGGTGGAGTCACTCATGAACCTCAAAAACCTGGATCCCCCTTGAACTCTCTGGGCCTGCAGAAGTGGCCCATTTCTCCCTTTTAAAGATTAATGCTTCCTACTTGGTTTAGGCTGATACAGAAGCCTTGTAAGACGGCATTATCTCCCTTATGTGCCATCCCAACAACCCCTCTTGGCGCTTCAGTATAAAAGATTTGTGGTCAAAAAAGTAAAGTGAGAATATGGTGTGTGGATACAGGTGCAAGGTAGGTAGACAGTTGAATTTAAATAGGATGGATGAGTATACAGTGGATTTAACTAGTTGGCAAATGGACAACAGAGGAGGTCCTATCTACAAGACAGTGATTCATACTGTAGGTAAGGATGTACGATGACCATATGGGGAGAGAATGGATAAGAAATGCTAACACGGAAGGGATGAAGGACTGAAAATCTTGATGAGGTTGAGGAGTGGGAGAATTAGAGTGAGCAGAAAAGATAGAAGGTGGTGGTCAGAGAGTGGGGTCCTTGTAATCAAGATTTCAGAAGTAGACAGTGGTGATGGCAAGGTCTAGGAGTGGGTTGCTGAGGTGGAGGATGGAGGAAAAGTTCAGTTGGAGATGAGGAGGAGATCAAGGCACTGACCGGAAGAGTCCTGGATAGACCATCTGCACGGACATCAAGGTCCTCTAGAGAGGTGAGGGAGGGAAGGGCAGAGAGGAAGGCAGCAAGCCAGCTTCTAGACTCACCTACAGTGAAGGGCAGGAACCAAGAGGTAAATATGGGTGACAGCAACAGGGAGGGCCACTGTGATCATCCAACATGTGAATCTGTCCTTACATACCTAGCACAGTGCCCAGCAGGCAATAATAGATGTTGGGAAGTGTACCGTAAATGTATCTGTTTGATGGTATGCTCCTAGACCATCATTGCAGTGCTCTTTTATGAGAACTTAGAATAGAGCTATGCACCAACCTGCTTCTGGATGTTCCACAGCAGCTTCTGGAGTCCAGGGGCCTGCCTTCACGTAGCCCCTCTTCTCGAGTGCAAAGACAAACCCTCCATCTCCAATCACAACTTCTCCAGAGTTTAACCGTTCTAGAATGCCCTAAAATTATAGATGAGGGGGAAGGAAAGGAGTTACTTGAGTTTTGTTTTTTTTTTTATGGAAGACTTTTTTATTGTTATGTTAATCACCATATATTACATCATTAGTTTTTGGTGCAGTGTTCCATGATTCATTGTTTGTTCATAACACCCAGTGCTCCATGCAGAACGTGCCCTCCTCAATACCCATCACCAGGATAACCCATCCCCCTCCCCCCCTCCCCTCTAGAACCCTCAGTTTGTTTTTCAGAGTCCATCATCTCTCATGGTTTGTCTGGAGTTACTTGAGTTTTTAAGACAATTTTCTATTTTTAGTACTTTTGCTATCATATTCTTGAGAAGTAGGATTTCTTCAGAATTCTCAGAAAGTACATGTATTTATAAATTCATGACTATAAGGCAAACAATCAGAATTTCAATTTTCATTTCACATAATGAACATGTGTGTATACATGTGCTGGGGGTGGGGGTCTTTCCGAACACATTAAAGAATTTAAAAATTTATTTTTTATTTTAATTTTTTAAAAAAGATTTTTTAATTTATCTATTTAGAGAAAGCATGAGCAGGGAGGGGCAGAAGGAAAAGGAAAGAGAGAATCCCAAGCAGGCTCCACACCCAGCGCAGAGCCCAATATAGGGCCTGATCTCACAACTCTGAGGTCATGACCTGAGCAGAAATCAAGAGTGGGAAGCTTAACCAACTGAGCCACCCAGGTGCCCCAGAACACATTAAAGTATTTTAAAGAATATGGTGGGCGGGCACCTGGGTAGCTCAGGTCATGATCCTGGAGTCCCGGCATCGAGTCCCACATTGGGCTCCCTGCTCGGCAGGGAGTCTGCTTCTCCCTCTGACCCTCTTCCGTCTCGTGCTCTCTATCTCTCATTCTCTCTCTCTCAAATAAATAAATAAAATCTTTAAAAAAAAAATTAAAAAAAATAAAGAATATGGTGGGAGAATGTTATCTTTGAAGAAATATCTACAGAAGGATTAAAAGAAAAGGTTTTATCAAAAACTAATGATGTACTACATGGTGATTAACATAACAATAAAAAATTTAAAAAAAAGAAAAGGTTTTATTGTTTAGCTTCAAATGCATACTTAAGCACACTTTCTAAAATGGTGAAAGCTAGTCTTCTTATTCTATGGATAAGCAGTCCTTACAGTTGGCCTTGACCCCGGCTGTCTCCCTGGGGGCCTCTGTCAGCCAGGCAGGGGCACGGCACTTTGACACCCCGGGGTCAAGTATATTCCCTCCTCCGTCCATGCCTCTTTTCCCACCAGCCCAACCATAGTGTGGCGGTCAGTCTGTCTGTCTGCTCCATCCATCTATCCATCCATCCTTCCATCCATCCATCCACCCCCCAATCTAGTCTGGACTGAAACACTCATTCCAACTAGGGAAGAGATACGAGCGTCATTAATCAGGTGCTGGAGCTGCTGGTTTTTGGTTTTTAAATCTTATTAACAGCCCTTATTTCAATATCTTACAGCCCCTGGGCCCGTTCACTGCCACCCCCCACCCCGGATTGAATGGTACATTTTGTTGTGATCGCAGAAACCAAACTGTGGGCGAAAACGTACCAAGGCCCAACCAACGCGTTAGCCTTGTTGCCGCGGCGGGACTGGGAAGCTTGCACGCCAGAACCGGGCAGGGAGGCGGCCCCGGGATTCCGGATTCCGCGGCACCCGTCGGGGCGGGGGCGGGAAACGGTCGGAACCCGGGCCGCGCGCCTCCCTGGCCGGCCCACGGAGGGCGCAAAGGGGCGCGCATGGCAGCGAAGGCACAGACGCGGGGTGGTTGGGGCGCGCCCAAAGGCGCCCCTCGTCCCACCGCTGTGGGGGAGAAACGTCGTGCGTTTGGGTCTAGGAGCCGCACTTCTCGGGGAGTGCTCTCGTGTTGGGGTGCGGGACTCAGAAGATGTTGGGCGTTTTGGAGTTCTGGGGGTGTCCTCGAGTCCGGGGTCACGTAGATCTAGGGCGCGCTCGGGCTATGGGCAGGGGTGTTGGGGGGAGCTCAGAGGCACCTTGGAGTCCTGCCGAGAAGTTATGAGAGCACCTTCTGGTCACAACCAGGCTCCGAGGACCCCTCTGCACTTCCTGAGGCTGGGGTGTGGGGCCGGTGGGCCGAGACTCAGAGCCCCCGCTGAGATGGAGAATGCCCTCGGGTCCCCCCGCAGACTCACCCTCTTGGCCTTTTTGCCCCCAACGGGTGCCATCTTCGAGGTGTCCAGACGGATACTAGGTACGGATGCGGACCGACGAGGTGAGCGTTACCCCGAGCGAAGCCTGGAGCTGCCTCACCGCCGCAGCCAGGCTCTTTATACCGTGTGCTGAGCGCGGGGTGGGTTTCCCCAGCCTTGGCGCGTCCAATGCGCGCTTTGCGCGGGAACACGCCTCCCCAGCGTTTTTTATTGAGGCCTGGCGGCTAGTTGGGAACTTTGCCCTGCGGAGATGATCGGGACTGTTCTCTCAAATCGGTGAACACACAAGACAAGTAAAATAAGAAAAAGATAATACTGAGGTTGCCACTCGCTCACGTTTCTACCTTACCTACGCACGGAATCTCTCCCCCACCCCCCACCGCATAAAGGGGTCCCGACCCTGATTTACCTCTCTCTTGTCTGGAATCATGCACCATTACCCACTTAAGACACCAGAGGAGGCCCCTAAGAATTCCATTCATGCACAAATATTTGTCAAAGGCCAGGATACAAGGTTATTGAATGAGGAGGCGATGCCCTGAAAGAAATTCAGTCTGAAGTGTGATCTCGGTGAAATACATCCAGTAATTGTGCAACGACATACAAATGTAGCATTTACAGAAGGGTCTGATAGGAACTTTGAATTAGTGGGTATGTTCAAAATGACCATCTGCCCTTATATCCAAAAATGCGGTGCAGTTTCTAATAACACAGTAGTTTCTTGTAAGAATAGCTTTGCAATATTTAACCAGGACAGACTTCTAACATCTATATATCATAGTGGAAATAGACCTTAGACACTTCAAAATGCAGTTCAAAAACTGTGTAAAAACCTAGAGGCATCAGAAAAACTGGAAGGAAATAGAAATGTTAATAGTAGTTGTCTGACGATGGTGGAATTAGGGCTTGCTCTTACTTCATTATATTTTACTGTATTTTCCAAAATATGTTTACAATGAGAACACATAGATTTTAAAATAATAAAAAACATTACTTTAAAAAATCTACAACATGACAGTAAGTATCCTAGAGGAAAACTAGAAATCTTGAAACAGAGTTCAGAAACTTTTACCCAAATAAAAGCACACAAGGAAATTTTGTATGTGCAACAGTAGCTTCCATTTCAACATATGCAAAGAAGGAGATTACTGTAGCAAATGATGAATTAATAGAAATTTAATTTTTAAGATGTGCACTCGAGATACAACTGAGAAAGTAGAAAAGTCCTTTTGGTTGTGATAACTGTCAAGTTGAAAATGGGGAAAAAAATGTAAGAATGATGGATGCATATGTTGTAATTTAAATAATGTAATGTTTCAGTTGCCCGGCAAGAATGAGGAATGAGGTAATGTCATCCTTCCCAATGCTTTTTCGACCATTAAAGCAATGGACTGTCTAAGTAGCTAATAGTTTAGTTAATGCACTGAGTACTTAATAGTTGTACCCTGATGAGGATTGGAGAAAAGAGCAGGTTCAGAGTGAGCCCCACGGTGGCGGCAGGGAGTAGATGTAGTGGTGGGTACCAGGCGCTAGGGGGCGGTATCAGGGCTCTGACAGTAAAAGCGGAACGCAGACATTCTCAATTTCACCGTTCTAAATTTAGCAAAACTTAGGAGAGATTTTAAAGCATTAGCACTTAATTTAAAAATGAATTGTGAATTTTTAGTAGATAATATAGACACATGGCAAAATTTTAAAAAGTCTTTCCCCAGCTGCTCCTCCCAGGAGGTAACCATTATTCCCTATTCTTCCAGAGGAACTCTACGCATATCTAAGTGTATACATGTATAGATAAGGATTTGTATTTGTTTATTTATTTAATTTATTTTAAAGATTTTATTTATTTATTTGAGAGAGAGAGAGAGAGAGAGAAACAGCATGAGAGGGGAAAAGGTCAGAGGGAGAAGCAGGCTCCCCGCTGAGCCGGGAGCCTGATGTGGGACTTGATCCCAGGACTCCGGGATCATGACCTGAGCCAAAGGCAGTCGCTCGACCAACTGAGCCACCCAGGATTTGTATTTAAATATAGGAAGTTTTAGTTATTTAGACACTTGTCCACCTCTAACTTTTCCAAAATAATTTATGGGCAGTTGAAATATTTTTGTTTTTTCCACAGCTTCTCAGTTTGCTATCATACCTCCCCACCCCCATCCCAGTTAGGGCCATTAAACAGAATTCAGTCACCTAGTAGTTCCACAATAGATAATAATATCCACAGTTCACTGTTTACTATGTGCGAGGCGCTATATTAGGCCTTTTACATACACAGCATTGTTTACCCCTCACTACTCTGTGAAGTAGGCTCCCCCACTTTGCACTCAAGAATATGAAGTCAGAAAGCTAGAGCAGTTATCAGTGTGACTTCTAAACTTCCTTTGCCCCATTCCCAAAGGACTAAGTTCACTTGCATACCACCTGGGGAGTGAATTTTGTAATAGCTGTTCTTGGGAGGCTGCCCATGTTCTCTGTTCTCTGCTAGAGCAATGAGATGACCGAGTTCATAACACTGAAGTCTTTGGCCTCTTACACAGCTGTTTGGGGTTAAGTAAATCCTGAAGAGAAGAAGGAGGGTTAGAGCTGGAGATCCAAGCCTGAGTCTTCAGTTTTATAACCTTCAAATGGAGGTTGTCATTCTGTTTTCTACTGGTGCTTTGCTCTGCTTAAAACCCCATTTATTTATTCGATAAACCTTAAAATGTTTCATTCATACAGTGTTTCAAACACCTTCTTTGGAGTCAATTGGTCCTTGACTTTAGTCTATTTTAAGATTCTTACCAGTACACAGCCCTCAGTTGATATAGAAAAATAATAACATATTTCTAAATAGCAAAATTGGCATCACCCACCAGCTTCTGAACCTCAGAATATAGGAACATATATATTTTTCAACTTAACATATGCATATAAGAACCCCAAAGAGTAAAAAAGGGCATCCATAAAAAAATAAGGTTCTCTAAATTCCAGTTCAACTTTTTTATAACTTACCCAGCTTAAAGAATTTTGGAAAAAATCTGGTACTTTCAGAAACCTGCTTCCAATGGTACCAGTACACATGCACCAGAATAGCTGAAATGGAAAATATGAGATGTTGGGGAGGATGAGGAGTGACTGGAACTCTCATTGCTGCTGGTGGGAGCATAAATTGGCACAACTGTTTAGAAAACAATGTTTGGCCAGTGTCTTTTAGAGCTGCACATATCTCTGTCAAGCAGTTCTACTCCTGGTGGAAACATGTGTGAGCATTCCTCAGAAGACATTTATAGGACGTTCATAAATGGCCCAAACTGAAAAGTACTCAAACGCCCATCAGCGATAGAATAGATCAATGAGTTGTGACATAGTTACACAAGGGAGTGCTGTACCCAATGCGAAATAGTTCACTTATAACCACATGTGACGATATGGATGAAGCTCACAAACAGTGTTGAGTTAGAGAAGCCAGACACAAAAGGGCAATCCTGTAAGATTATAGTTATATGACGTACAAAAACAGGCAACACTAAGCTATCCTCTTAGAAGTCACATTATTGATGACCCTAGGGGGAGGGGAGAGTGATGAGGAGGGAATGGTGTACTTTTGGGATGCTGATAATAGTCTATTTTTTTATCTTAGCGCTATGCACGTGTGTTCAGCTTATGAATATTCACTAAGCTGTACACTTACAACATATGTACTGTTTTGTGTATGTATCTTATACTCGAATAAAAAATTAACAACAAAAATAAAAATGACATAAAACAGCTGCTTGGACTTTTGTGTATCCCACAAAAAGTCCAATGAACTAAATAAACTAAAAAAATCTAAAAGAAGCCAGTCCAGATTTTGAATACAGTCATTTTACTGGTGGTGGGGAATGATTCAGGCAGACAGAATTAACTCTAATTGTTTTCTTATTATAAAAGTAATCCATTTTGAAAAATAAATTCAGTACTTATTATATACAAACGGTACCCCAAATTCAAAAGGTCATGAATTGTTAATGAGATTAGCTATACCAGCATGATCTAGAATAAACAATAAAAAAAATTAAAACGCTATTTCAGGGTGTCAGTTTCATTTTATTTTTAAATGACTGTTAGATCAGCATTGCATAATGTGTAGATCCATTTTTTAAAAGGTAATTTCATTTTAATTAATGAGTTAATTAAAATAGGTAAGATGTTTACTTGGTCCAAAATTCAAAAATTAAAAAAGGGCATCCTGTTCCTCGTGGCACCCAGCTGCAGTCCACCGACGTTCCAGTTCCTTTGTGACCATTCAGAAATATTATATGCACATACAACAAATATGTATAAACATTTTTGCCCCCCACTTAACCAACCAGTAGTGCACCATAGACCCTGGTCTTTATTTTGCTTGCTTTTTTTTTCCCCTTAACATATCTTCTCAATCATTTCACATTAATAGGCAAGGAGCTTCCTCTTTTTTTTAAATGGCTTAATATTTTATTGTATAATGTAGCAGGATTTATTTAGCCTGTCCCTGTTGATGGGTAGCAACATTATTTCCAGACTTTGCCACTTCAAATAAAATGGAAATGAACAGCTTTCTACCTACATTATTTCATACATTTGAATAAATATCTCTCTAGTAAATCTAGAAGACTAGTTAACTTTGGACCATCAATATTCATTTGCTTTCTCCATGTAATCATTTTAGTTTTGAACTTAAAACAATCAAAACTGAGTTCTAGAGTTCTAGAGTCAAGGGTTTTCAGGGAGAAGAGATTGATTGACCCATGCACTCATTAATTTCTTCAACAAATAATTATCGAGTCCTTCTTTATTCTCCCCGGTGAACAAAAGAGACAACATTTCTCCCTGCCCTGTTGCTTACATTCTGGGGTGTGTGTGTGTGTGTGTGTGTGTGTTGCTGAGTGCAGGTAGGGAGAGGAGAAAGACAACACAAAAAATGGCTTAAGTTATGTATATGTCAGGAAAGGTTAAATAATGCCCTGGAGAAAAACAAAGCAGGGATGGGGAGTAGGTCATTCCAGGAAGGGTGTCGCACCTTTTGACAGGGCCAACAGGCC